CAAACAGAAAGTATATTGTAACCGTTTCAAGGCTAAACTCACTAACCAACGAGTACTGATACTATGATAAGCGTTACACATGTTATAGTAATAAATCTTTATTCATCTATCTATATACGTATATACTGAGTAATCTACCAAAGCACTGTAAAAATCAGTTTACAGATTATCAAAACCAGATAATCTAATCAACGTAGCATGAAAACAAGAAAGTAAGTAAGCTAATTTGTTTGTGAATAATATAAATGAAATGGATCTTCATTTGCGTTTAGACATAAGAAAAGAAACATAATTGGATAAAATGCTAAGAATAAAAATTTATTCCTGCCTATATTGTGTACAGTTGCTTACTTAAAACATTAATCACAGATAAATAAGTCTTGCTTTACCGATTATACTTACACTACTCACAAAGAATGATGAATAATCACTATCAAAACTGGATACGCAGCAAACAATTTAGATTACATCTCGAAAATGTTGAGAAAATGTCATTAAATTCAGCAGTTATAATGTGTATATCTTATAAAAATCTTATCCAGCGGATCCGAATATATTGTAATCTCTATATTTGTCAGTATACCGACACAATGAACATTATTTGTCACAGGAAACTGTCCTAAACGACAATCAAAAGGTACCCAATTCATCGATTTTTAATACAGACTGCAGTGTACTAAAGAATTCGGAAGGTTAGCATGATTACTACAACTGTCATTCCATTTAAAGGTATCCACTACTTAAACAATATTAGTTTTATCCTGAAATAAAAGGAAAACCTTCTGACATAAAAACTATTTTAAAACATTCTGTTGAAAATAGACCTAAAAGTATACAAAGTATTGAAATCGATTTGCGTTTGATTTAAAAATCCATTCACTTAGTAAATTTCAGAGGGTAATATAAAGGAACATATCTGTTGTTAATCGAGATGCCGTTTTACTGGGATCAAGACTATGACTGTAATAGCATACTGAAACTGACAGTTGAACAGCATAAGAGTTTAAGTTACTAAGTGTTGCAAGACAGTAACTGTAGTGACCAGTAATTTTTGACAGTAAATTAAATAACATTGAGCTGAACTATATTTGTATAAATCTCCAAAAACCTATTACTTTGTTATTTTATTTTTCATAAATTTCTGTTTCTTCAAACCATAAGTCCCTACGTCAGACGCCCTTCATTTTTCCCTCAGTGAAAAAACTTTCTCGTTGAATTCGGTGCTCTATTAAGGTGTTGGTTTTACGCCTTATTTTCAACGACATTGTGAGTGCATTCATAAACTAATGCCGGTGGTCGTAAACAATTTTCTTTAAAATATTTCAAAAATTCTTCCGACAGAGAAACCTGGTTCTAAGGACTGGATAAGGAGGTGTTACCTCCAGCTTATCAAACGTTGAAGTTAGTATATTAATTTGTGAACGTGACATGAGTTTTAAAAGTATCATTCCCTGTTAAATCTTTATTTTCTACATACGGTTGCAAACCCTCAGCCAGGTTATTTTTTTACGCTTTAAGGTTTTTGTTTTTTGGCCTTTTTGCCAATTGGTGGAGAAAAATGATAAACTTTAAAAGCATATATCAGTCAAATATTCATATAAATCAGTAATAAACACACATTTATTAGGTTAGTTTCATTTGGGGTTTCAGATCTTAGATTAATATACATAAATACTAGGTTCTACGTTGCGTCTGACTTCGACTTTCAACACCGTAGAATACATAAAAATTAAGAGTTGAGCCATTTACTTTAATGTATTTCTAAGTTGCTTCAATACGAATATTGAACCGATCAATCACTATACAATTGTTAAGGACTAAGTTTTACAGAACCATTTTAACCAAGTGATCTGGATGACACCATACTACTGTTACTACAAAGGTACGGAATCACTTAAGGTCCAGAAATCTATATTCCTGTTGGTTATGATAATAAAATCGGATATATTTCGTAATGGTCATTGAACTAGGACAGGTTATTTAGTTATAGTCTCGGTTTACTGGAATGATTATATTTCACATTATCAAAATGAATCCCATGTAAATTACGTTAATTTATTATCTTTGCAGGGGATTCATTGGAAGGCCTCAGCAAATCTATTGTTATTCATTTTAGGCCAAAAGGTAAACATGTACCCTGCCAACACAATACTAAATATTTCACCATAGTAACATGAACTAGTAATCCCCATGACGATAACAATAATAATAGAATTAGATAGACTAGCATACAGTATTTCCTCAAAATAGTCATTATTCCATAAGAAAAATAAGGTTATCGTTTTAGGATCTTATAAACTTTGACAGAAATTTAGGCTGATCATCCTATTTGTACAATTTACAGAAAATTAACCAATCATATTTGATGGCAAACGAAGTATGAGAACCTTCTGGTGGGTTATATTAAACTTTTCCGTTCATTCTTGCAATATAATATTGATATCATTTATTCATTAATCTTTAGCAAAACGTCATGATCTTTTAATAGTAACTAACCATGTAATTCATTTAAATTAATAAAAAAAAAAGCCTTGTAAATGAATCTTGTTTTTTGACATCAGTTAATTGAACTCTGTTTAAGCAATAATGAAACAAAAATTTACACTGCAACGGACAGAAGTTTTTAAAATAGGTATAATCGACCACACGAAAGCTGAAGACATGATAGTGTTTAACATTGACCAAACAATCTTATTTACATTGTATGAATGTTTTCCTTAAACTGGTGAAAATACTTAATTTCAAACTAGTGGTAAGAATACCTAAAAAATCCACAAGGTTTTCATTCCGGATAATAGAAACTTTCCATCACTATATGGATAGTAATATCCTGTTAAAATGAGTACAGGGGATTTTTCGAGATTGTTCAGTTTGTATTATACGTCAGTGGTCAACTTTTGTTACACAACTACCAAAAACCATGAGGCTCTGGACATCCATTCCAAGCTGGCCCACAAGGATGAAACTTGGGACCTTCGGGCATCGCGCGAACCAGGTAATTCGCGGATCGTACGGGACGCCATGTAGTTTTGTTTAACTTTTTTAGCATTAGTTCGTTCGCTATATTACGCAACCGTTATCCATTGGAATTAGCGATACCTGACTAGTTCCCCAACATGGTTGAAACTTGGTGATTATGGCATCTCACTAGAGCTCCAAATTTAAAGAAATAACTTAATGGATGAATAAAACTTATTAAGAGGTGTAAATTGTACTCTGAAATTAATTTGTTGGAACGTATTATAAATAGCACATTCTTTGTGACAATAAAACACAATATTATATCAGATATACCTTGCGAATCACGAAACCTACTGATAACAGACAGCATCTTTGTCAATAAGCACCCATCTATGTTCCCTGACATACTGTCAGTTACATAGAATTCAAGATATTGTTTTATTTATGTCTGACATGAATGGCTATATTGTAAAATGTAAAACGTTGAAAATGTTTTCGTTATACATGAATTTACCTCAACTGATAGCTTGATCAATCGTATAATAGTATTTGTCGAAAGTTCTCCAAACAGGATATATAATGGTCCCAAAGTCCCTATTCGGATACTACGATTATTATCGGTACAACAATTCCAAATAAGGTCCTAGATTCCATTAGAGTAGTCAACAGAAACGAAGTTAGTGAAAAGTCGAATATTTCTAGTTAGTACAGAAGTAGTCATATATTTCGTTTTTGTCTGAACACCATCCTGACGTCAAACCTATTATATACGTACTAGGATTAAATCATATTTATCTATGAGCGTCTTTTCCAACTGTTTTCTTGTCTTTTCACATTTTGTATAGCATTAATTAAATAGGATATATAAACAGTAATCATTACTTTACACGAACTCAAGTTGTCCTATAGTTACAAAAGCCTAATTAGAGTTAAGTAATCAAGCTGAAATAGATAACAATTTTTTCGGTTAGACATTCACAAAATAGACAAAAGCTGTGTGAAACAAATGATCTAGTCAAATATTCCTTTTACCAATTACACATTTAACAAGTGGTAGTTTTTGTTATAATAAGTAATAGCTACCACTGTTCAGCTGTAACACTATTAACTGGCTTTAAATCTGAAGACTTTCTTTTTACTTTACGGCGTTAAATGTTATCCAAATAAATCTCGTTTCAAAAGAAAACTCTGATAGTCTTTAGATTTCTTTCAAAATCTGTTTCACGTACTGGGAGTCATAAACCCAATTCAGTTCACTTAGTTATGTAAGTAGACTGGAATTATCATCTGAGCTGAAACGGTTTCGTAGCTCATAGTAGCACCAAAATTGAACAAACTCTTCGAGGATTAACGCTGAAAACTAGTAAACGGACTACGCTGTAATACACAAAATAAATAGATTAATTGAATATAAACATTCTAGTTATAGCCTCATAACACTCACTATGTGAATAAAGTTGATATATTATAGTTGGTTCGTGTAACCTGACTGTATGCCACCCATAACTTTGTAATTACTGAACAGTGTTTTATAAGTAAATGTCAACATTATTAGTGATTAAAGTCGTGATAACAATTATTTCTTTATTACCACTAAACTTTTCGGCCTAACTGATGTTTATGATAACCAATCACAAATGAGGATTTCGTGTGGACGAATATTATCCTGGAATCACGTCATAGAGAATATGTGATCGAAAATAGCAATTTCTGAGAGCATTCAAATATGTTGTTGATAGAGATTGTTTATTATTTGAAACTATTAAATATAAAAACACTAGAGTACTAATGCAGCTACGTGAGAAAATCTACTAACCCATTTAACCACGTGTAGTACAACACATTGCCATCTGGAATGTGTGATAGATTCGTAGTTTGAACCTTAACAAAATAACAAGAAAAACATCTTAATGTGCACAGCAAAATCATTTCTACACATGATTGGTCTTAGAGTAAATTGATATCCTTTTGCTATTCCCTTCAGACATCTTGCTATTTCAAAAATAGTATTAATGGGCAAATTCACACAAATTTCTTACCTGTCAGTTGAAATTATGATGATCATGAGTAGATTACAGCTACTGAATTTTAATAGTTAACCGAACTAAACGAAATACTCAGCCCTCTGATTTCTTATTCTTTTAGAATATGTCAAGACTGTGGTCCACAATATTTTAAAACTAACTATTTGTAAATTGTCCTGAATAATAACTTAAACTAGACAAAGGACTGTTAATTTTATTAATGATAAATAATCTTGACTATCCACTTAGCATTATCACCATCCACTAAACATTGGAGATAGATAAAAATTGGTCATTAGTTTTTCTAAGTAAAGTAAATATACCCAAGGTTAGTTAGTGTGACAAAGATTAATTAGAATGAAAAACGAATCAGAAGTCAGGGAATTTAGTGGAGAACAACGCTGAAAATGTTCACAAAATACGATGACCACATGAATTTATTTTCAATCAATACGTATAGTGTCCTACTTTTTTATTAAGTTTGTCATTTGATACCTACTTTTACCGTCATAAACATGCTTTCTGGAGTTGAATCTTCTGGTAGAAATGGCTGTGTTGTAGAAATTTTCTGAGTGAATCTAGGACTTGTAGTTGCCTTCACACCTCCCCCATCCGTTTGTAATCCAAACGTCAACCAATCGATAGCATGTAACGCTATTTGCTTTCGAGTATGGTGCATTCCACGAGCTGTTATACAATGGGTATTAAATTAATAATAATGATTAAGGATAATGATAATTCTAGTGTTGAAAGTCATTTTTTTAAAAATTGTTTCGCTTCTGCTGATTTGAGTGTCAAGAGAAATAACAGTTATAAAAACATCAATCAATATTAAAACATTAGGTTAAAAGTAAGTAAATATGATATAGATGCATTTCCAAAAAGCATAAACTTATTTTAGCACGTTTATTGGGATGAAACGTGAGATCATTTCTTCTGCTGACCCAATGCTCCCGAAAAATGTAGTTTTTGCCGTCGTTATTATTACATCAAATAACTCACATTTTCTTAAAGAAACATAGGAGTAAATTATTAATGAACTGATTGCATATCGTGTTTTAGTAACTAAGATTCTTCGCACAGTGATTATATTCCAGGTATGAAATATTCACTGATTCTAGTAGAACCTTGACATGTGTGTCACATACCGAAGTCGCACAAGTTGTTGATATACTCATTGACTAATTTCATTGTGACTTCAAATCGTATTCCCTATTTCAGTAGTGTAAATGATATAACTGGACCATACATCTGCATATTAAAAGGTTCTCCCAAAATACTGAACAGGTAACCACAACATTTACATATCCTCTACTTTGAACTTAGGCGTGACTTTAAAAAATTAGAAACGGGACATCTGTATAGAAGTTTTCCTCATCGATGACCATCAATTTTTTGCTCCAGCATTACCCACTGTATTCATAATCAGCTTCAGTTGATCACTTGTCCGCAAAGTGTAACTCAACTAATCAGATTAGTTAATTATTCTTCTTTATAATACCAAACAGATTTTTAATTTAATAATTGAATTCATAAGTCAATTAAAACTAAACCACCACGGAAAATCTGGAAGAATTAGACGGCTGTTTCATCCTAGTATGAGACTCCTCATCCCGCTCGCGGGATTCGGACCCAGGACCACTCGGTATCGCGCGCGAGACTCAAGACAGTCACAATACACTACATATTATTTAATGGAATTAACATTTTCAACAAAAATGTAAATTAAGATATTGTTTGGTGATATTTTTTATATCTTATAACTTATTCATTTGAAATCACAGCCACTTATAATACCAGAACGACATAATAAACATCTAGATGCTACATATCTGTTTTGCAGTTGCAGTAAGGAACCATGAAAAATATCGAAGCTGCTTTGATTGGTTATTAAACAATAGATGAATTTTTTCAATTTGGTTAAGAACGTAGTTTTACATCGGTGTTGATGTGCTTCTGATGATAGCAACTTGAAAAACTAAATTTGACGTCACACTTTCAGTTACATCCCATCAGATGGTAAAGGTTTCATGTCAATATTATACTTGCATGTATGAAAGTAAATACCAAATCAAAAATAACACAAGTTCAGTCCAAAACTTCTGATTTTTCTTCAAAAACGGACTAAACTTTTGAAAGCTTTTCAGTTAGAAGTGTACTGTTAAGTATATCTTACTACGAAATAAAATAAAATTCTGATCATTAGCTGGTCATCAGCATGAAGCACTAACTTTTTGATAAAAAAAAATAAAGTCGCTTTAGCAGCCACAAAATAAACAATCTACTTACCGGCTGCTTTATAATCAAGAAGAGGATGTTTGAAAAGTTGTACGACAAAAACCAAAAATTGATCTACAAAAACTCACCTAAATTCATAGAACTGATGAGCATTTTTAAACCAGCCAGAGAAAGGGGAAGACTTCTTATCCTAAAAGATATATTTATTGTTGTTTGTGAATAGTTCCGTAATTTTGAAACTTGAGGAAAACACAAAATTATTACAAGTATACAATTTAATGAAATCAATGTTATAACAAACAAAATTGCAACTTGTCTCTAATTATTATGTTGAAACGAATTTCAATGTCCGAAAAACTATCACTTCAAGTTTGTATGCTTTCAGTTAAATTCTTTAGGTTCTTGTTTACCATGGTTAGTGGTCTCTTATCGATTGGAAATATTATTTCCTCTGAGCTGTAGCTTTCATTGTCTTCATAGACATTATCAGAACATACGTCAGAGAATAAATAAATCAGTTTTCTATATTCTGCAGATAAGTGCCTTACACTAACTCACGGAACGTCGGAGATCTTATTTTTTACTCATTCAGAGATTGTAAACATATCCTTATTTTCACTAGTAACAATATATCGATTGACCAGTTTATTAGAAATTACCAAGTCAAATCTCCGTAGTGATGTCTACCAACCAATGAAGGTTAATTAGAGATACTTAAAAAGTGTTAACTTTCACTGCTTCTGGTAGAATCACAAACTTTCACTCACTCTACTCATATTAAAGCTGAAATCATCAGATATTTTAAAGCGTTTACAAGATTCAAGTGAATACATAATCCCTATATAGAATATATAGGAGAAAAACGTAGAAAGGACAGTATTTAATTTATAACAGCATCTTTTTCTGTTAGTTACAAAAGATGTCTAGTCAAAACACTCTCTAATAGAATAAGAATGTTGCGTTCAGACTATAAAATAAGTGGGAAATTGGTCATTCTACGACAGAACCTCAAAAAGTGAATAATGGGAAAAAATTATTGCTAAATACGAGAAAAATAGCTCTTTTTATAAAGATATTCTCATTGGTCTTCCGTTCGAGAGAGATTAGATTACAAGTGAAATTGGTAGGAGAATCAAGGCAGCGTCGAAAAGAAGCTTTCCTAATGTTCAAATGATCTCCCTATAAGACTCCAAGCGTTCGTTATACAAGTAAAAGATAGATCAATACTCTTTGGACGTCACCTCCAATCGCATTCAGAAATTTACATACACATGCGGCAGCGTGTATACAGGGAAAACAAATAGAAGGGTTTCTACCAGATATTCTGAACATGTTTTTAAAGATATATGTCTGAAAGGGAGTAGCCTTCCCAGGCGCAATTCCCAAGCACCTTTTGGATAGTAGAGTTAGAATGAATATAAGTCTTGAGCTAAAAATAATTAGCAGACAACCAATACTGGTTTTACTTCGTTCTGCAGAAACAGTCGCTAACTACCTTTTTTGATCTGACCGATGTATACTGAAGCAAACTGTGACTATCCTTTATGTGATATAGTGGCTAAGTATTTGAAAAATAACCTTTATTAACTTTCTTCAATCCCCACTTATTTTGTCTTCTAACATTTATCTCTTAAATAATCTTATTGTTCATATATACTTGATCTTATTCCTCATCATTGTGAGAGGTTACGCGATGAATTATTAATTTCATTACCTTAACATAATCTCTTTTGTCTTGGTTATGGTTACTTGTAACTATAACACCCATTTCAAAATCTAAATGCACATTGATCTTAAATATGCTTATTCATATATTTTGTAACCTATTCCTCTTCTTACTAGTATGATTTCGGTTACGTTCCGAACACTTAACTAGACTTAACAAAGTATGTGAAGCATTTTTTAAATAAATATATTACCAACTGTAATTTTAGTCTGTAAGCAGCTGATGAGAAACTGTGAAGTAAAATGAATTCGTTTTATTTTGCAAACCATGTTGCACTTGCTCCGTTTAGTTTTACAAAGGGAGCTGGTTGTATGAAGTTATGAGATCAGACTCGTTTTCTTTTTTTCATGAAACAATTTCAAGAATATAGATAATGAGGTCAGTCAATAAGCCATATAATAAACTTCATGCAGCAATGTAATCGAATCCTCTGTAAGACTCGGTAAATACAGTACAGAATGAATATTTGTATACTGTATTATTTGGAGTGGTTAAAACATTGCGCCCTATGTCTAAATCATCAACAGTATATATGGAATACGTTACTGATTGAAGTTATGGTATACTTTTAGAACATGTCATATCTTGTTAACAATTCGTGTAGTCTAGCATTATATAATCCTTACTAAATTTGAACGTCTATGGCACAATTTATCAAATAAATGGCAGCAAAAACAACTAAGTATTATTGGATGTTAATGTCTCATTGTAAACTTCAGAACAAACAGTTGGTCGTTTCCTTTTGTGAATTTTAAATATCAAAACATCAAATGCTATCCTCACTAACTTTAGCTCGGGATTGAATGACGCTGTTACAACATTACAATGTGACAAAATGATTATGAAAACATTCAACAAAACAACAAGCTTACTACATAAGGAATCAAAAATTGATAAGATGAAGTTCTACAATATAGAATTTTCCCGAATATTTTTAACCCTTTAAACAACACTTAAGTGTATGTTGTATAAACTAAACAAGCGCTTATGAGAGCAAACTAGCAGTGAGAACTATTTAGACGTGATTTATGTTACTCTTCCAATTCATTTGCTAGCAAGCATTTTGGCCCAAGACTAGCATTAAAAATCCCAAGCGAATAGTGGATATAACACTCTTATGAAATTCCGACATCATCTAACTGTACTTATGTGATGTCACTAAAATATGTAAGGAGTCGAAAGTGCGTCATTATGATACTGTGAACAAAACACTTCAGTTTACTAAGATGTAACTCCAGTGGTTTATGTCTAAACTAAATCCAATTTACAACCTCACTTTAGTTTACTTAGATACATAGCTTTTTGTGCAACAATGCTAATCATAAATAGTGCAACATAGTAAATACACTGAGTAAACCGCGTTCAGGAAGTAATATATAAAACATTCAATTTTGACTCTATCTGTCGTTTCAAAAGCAATATGTTCGTGTTGTTTTAATGAGATTTAAAGTCCATTTTCAAAATAAAACATACAAATAAATTAGCTCCGTGGTGATTTGGATGACTTTATCTTTCATTCTCAGCTCTTCATCTTTTGATACGTTTCTATACCTATGTCCCGTTGATGGTACCAGCATCTGGGATCGCACATCATTTAAATCAATGTCGCTCCATCCATAGCAACGAGCAAATAAATAGAATACCAACCTAATCAAAATAAATAAATTTATTGTGTTCATGTGAAGAATAATCCCATTGAGACTACAAAAACACTAATGAAACTAAATTTTCTTTAGAAAAATATCAATAAGGAATCACCCGGATTATTCAGTAAAAATTCTTTTATTAAAGCTTGTTGCACTTCATGATTAATATAACGCAGCCTTTAAATGGACAATCCTCAGCTAAACTAATCTTTAACATCAACCGAATATATAGGGTATATGTGACAATAGTTTGTACTTTTTTAGAACGCAAGTGCCATAAAAATTTTATCCACTTCTAGCTTTATAATTCATTTAAGAATTAAAACCAATTAAATACTTAGATTTCCGTAGTTCACTCCTGTGTTTTCCCTCTCATGGATAGTGGATAGTGTATTTAAGGCAACACAATCCAAATATTTCCATTCATTGAATAATGATGGCACAAACGGTTAAACAAATATTCGAGAGTTGTTCAAATGAATGCTAAAATGGAAGTTCAATACATTCATATAGCTATCTATACATTACAAAATATCCTACTAAGTTATGTAAACAGGATTTGATATATTAGTATGAACTCAAACTATTGGAAACAAAAGGCCCTTTCAGCTGAATACAAATACATAAAAGGTATCGAAAACTGTTACTGTTTATGGGTTCAGAGTTTTGGTTAGTCAGTTTAATGATATTAATGTCATATTTACATTTTATTACTGTAAATTCCACCTGCTTCAATCACCCTGACCGTGAACAGGTGTTGGTGCACTAATAAGTGTAACGAAAATTGGTTTGCGAAAACTCATGTAGTTCAACAAATAAAATGTTTTTATTATCATAAGAAATGTATCTATCCAAACTTGTTCAAGAAAAGTATCCGTTATGCTTTCAAAAGGGTTATAGCGAGTGAACTAGAAGTCTCCTAAAGGAATATCTGATCAATACTGGTTATTCTATGGCGACTCACTTAGCGTTCCAAGTAACCCATAAGGTAGATGAATAGTTGTAAAGTATAGTGTATCCCTGGTTTTTTTACTATTCAAACCCTTTACTCTCAAAATACGCTCACCAAACCTTTTTTTCTCGTCTTAATTCTCAGCCTTGCAATTTATCCTACCATCACTTTACTAGGCTTTTTCTTTAAGGTGGTTAGCTTTTTTTCCAAACTCACACCGATTAAATTTCTTTTTTGTTCGTTTTATTCTGTTAAGTAACTTATTTCCAGTTTTTCTTAAGTGCTTGAATAATGTTTCAAGATTGATAGCTATTATTTGTGTTTTTGATTGAGATCATGAATCGATCGATATCAGACTACAATTGTAAACCTGGAAACACAGGACTAGACACGCATGACATTGATCACCACCCAGTGATTAATCAATTGTGACGGCTGTTTTGTCTTATTATGGTACTCCTCAGCAGTGCGCATCCACGATCCCGCTCGCAGGATTTTAACCCAGGACCTTCGGTTATCTTCATCAAACAAAATGAAATGTACTCTCGTTCTTTTGGTATTGGTTACTACATATCATAATAATAATAATAATAATAAATAATATAATAATAACAATCCCATATTATCATTAAGACAGTAGAGTAGCAACTTAGCGGCTTCCCAAATAGAAACAAGAAGTATAAATCTTCAGATGATTAAAATAACACATTGTGTCATTGGGTAAAAGTAAAGAAAATTCAACGAAGAAATTTTTTCTTCCGATGAATTCACTTATTTAAGCTGTACATTCGTATTTATAGTTGTGTAGTAAATATATGTTTATAAAAGGATAGAACAGATTGTATCACAAAGAGATTCGAAACTTTAAGTTTTCTCTGAGGTTGTGAAGTAATAAATGAGCTAAATAAGTAAAAGAATATAAGAATGAAAATAATTTATGGGTCAGAATAATGGGAGATAATCGCCCACTTGACAGATACGAAGGGAAACAAAAACCATAAAGGTCATAATAATAACTAATTGATGATCATAATCGATTTTGAAGGATTATAATAACTGATTACGGGTTAAAATTACAAAACACTAATAAAAAGAGTAAAAAACCGCCCAAACATACTACAGAAGGTAATTAAGGCTGAAGAAAGATGAGAGTTTGGACGTATCGTTTTTACACGCAGGGTTGGGGCTTGAGTTGGTTGATTGTCAATGCCTCAGCAGTGCATAGGTATGTGATTCAACCTCCCTTCAACCCAGTTCCTTTGATTGTGTACACTATTCCAGAGTTGATTAGGTGCTCCTGTATTGAACTGGTGTATCTTTTGCATTCTTTTTCTAAACGACACGCCGAGTAATGTTCTGAGATGCGTTTGGAAAGTGATCGCTTTGTGCGGCCAATGTGACCTGATGCACCGAAGATGCATAACGATGCGGCTCAAAGCGGAATGGCAGTCCGGCTTCAGAATAAAACACGGAACTCAGTTGAATAGAATGTTTTGTTCAAGAATTTTGAAATCCATTTATTCAAGAGTTCAGCAGCCGTATCTCCTTTAAATTCAATATTCGTAAAAATGGTTTTCTTTTAAACTGCTGGTGCTTTTTCAGGATGTTGACTTGGCATTAAGTTCCTATCGACAAATCTCGAAGATAAAGAGTGAATTAATTCACTTTCTCCACTCGATGGGATCCGGCTGTAGAAACTCGGGTACTGACCATTTTAGGTGGGTTTTTTATATTTGGATCTGTAAAGAACCGTCTGATCATTTCAATATGAAATCAAGGAAATGAAATTCCTCGTTCGCCTCTTCTTCCAACGTGAATAGAATTAAGTGATGACAATTGTTGGATAGATTTGAAATTTCATTGACGTTCATATCTACTTCACAATAATGAAAGTATTATCAATATACCGCTTATATAAATGAAATCTAAGTATTGGTCGAAGTGATGTATTTTCCAGATTGACCATGAAACAATCAGCCAAGAGGGGACCTAGTGGTGAACGCATTGCAACTTCATCAGTTTGTCTACAAAAATCATTATTAATTCTGAATCGCACATTGAGAGTACATCACAGAAGCAGCCCTTTTAGATGAAGTTTTGGGATACAAATATCAAAACAGTTATGTTCGATATAGTCACATAAAAAACATAGCTTCTATGAATGGAACATTTGTAAAGGCGGAAGTGACATCTAATAAAACTTTTTTTATCATTTACGTCGATATTTCTAATTGAGTCAACAAAATCAAATGAATCAAGAGAGTTGTATTTGTAGGTTTGATTTCTGATGGGTTGTAAAATTTTAGCCAACCATTTAGTAACCAAATGATACTGAGAGTTATTCATGTCAATTAAAAGAAGTACGATGACATTCTTCCAATGAACTTTTGGTAGTCAGTATGGTCTTGATATAGAGGAATTCGATAGTCTTAGATGTTTGTGGAGGTCACAACTGATAATAATCTCTTCTTTCATCTTCCTTGGGATTTTAGTTAGCAGTTGTTCAACTTCCTTAGTTGCATCTTTTCAATTGGCTTCTTTAGAGAATGTAACAGCATCAGATAACACCGAGGATAGTTTGATAATATAGTTATGAAGATCCACAAGGACAGTTCCTGCACTCTTATCTGGGTGACACAGTACTAAATTCTGATTTATTAGGAGATAAATTAACTGAAATGTATGTTATTTTATAAGCTATCGTCTAGTTGTGAATATTTCGTTTACATATTGATTACAACAGTCAATAAGTTGTTTGAAATGCTCATACTCTTTATTAGATACAGGGATAAGGTCATTTATCTGACAAATGAAGCTTTCAAACTGGATCTTAGCATGGAATTCATTAATGTTAGCTGACGTACTACAAAATTTAGAACCAAGTGATAATGCTTGTAGTTGGATAGTTGATACTGTTATACTAAAATGCTTGAATATAGATTTTTCTGGTGATTTCGGAAAAGATCCATGGATCTCCACCGGTTTTAAACTTTTCATTGATTTCAAGTCCACGTGTTCAATACGATTTCTAACAACCGTATCAACGCAATCCTTTCTGTCCTTCTATAGACGAATGTGCAGCTTAAATAAATAATTCTGCAGAAAATAAAATTTTAGTTGTTGGACTAAGGAGTAAATCTCTTTGCTGAATTTTATTTTTGGCTATAAATCCATGTACTTTGAGTACAATTGAAAATTTCGCTGATATTTTCTGAATACGAAATCACAGTGCAGAACAAAATCGTATTAATAATAAAAGCTCAGAAAGGGATAAAAACTAACAAAAGCAAGTGATTTAAGCTATAGAATGAACAAACTGGTTTTTTACTACAAATTATTAGCATCTGACAAGTAATCTATCACTTTTTTATTTACATTTTGCTCATTCAATAAGAACTGAATTTTTCAAGTTTACTGCTTGAATATTTTACGACTTAACAACATCCCTTACAAATTATTCGCTGATCGGATGAAGTGCAGCAAATCGATTAGTATTGCAACAATGAGAAAGGTAAATGTGATTTTCTTTCCGCAGTTACTAGATCAAGCAAAACGGGATTTCAGATACACAAGACAGCTGGATACGGTTTGCTACTGCTTTCTTTACTTCAAACCGCAAAAATAATTTAAAGATGGAATAAAATGTATCGTTTATCTTCGTTATATAGTTTATGACAAATTAAATCCACTAAAAGGCAAACATTCCGAAGTCTCGTTCAATTACTAATTTTTTTATGATTTGAAGTCAAACTTATAATAACTTTTATTATTAATATTAGGCAGCTAGACTGGAAAATATCTTGTAGTTTTTATGATGAATGTACAGTCAGGAGAAAAAATTAGTATTAGGCTAAATTCAGAGCGTACTTTATGATCATTCATTACTCCAATGCTTACTCAGATTTCCCAGGATAATACATGCAACTACCGTTCCTCTTTTATGATAATAAAATTTTAAAACAACAAGAAACACACCAGTTGTGCTAGGCTCTTTTAAAGTATATTTTGATGATTTGTAGTTAAAAAGATGACGGTTTATTAAGAAATGTGATATGTATGAGAACGTTTGGAACATTATAACCAGTTTTAAATAACGTAAAACAGGAAACACATGTGTACCTGACCAAACTGCGATACTTTATAAAAAGAACATGGGTACATTGGGGAACGATGCTTGCCGAAACGTTCCTAGTCACAATATTTGAGTTAGTTGTAGTAAGCATAGCTCAAGAAAACCAAGTGAAACAGTTTATTCAGAGATTGGGACAAATATTAAACTTGGGAGGGGAATGAAGGACAAATAAAAGTGTCTATGTTATTAACCAGATTTCACACTATGCCATTTATTATATCTTACTTTGCAAACCTTAATGAGAAGGTCTGCACTTCATACATCAACTTTGATAAACACACTTTATCCCCTATGAACAATCTCCTGCCCATCTTCTTAGTCAGCTAAGCTACATATTCCAACTGAATCGTTTGTCATTCCCAATTATTATTTCAAGTCTAAACTCAACACTACAAGCTTTGTGTGTTCACTATACAGGAGCAGTAATTTGATCATCACTATTAATAATTTTCAATAAAACTTTGTAAGCTGTTGTTTACGTTGTCTACTAAATAATAAGGAGATCCTGTCGACTTTGAGAAACTAACATGGTAGGACATCCTTTTAGTCATATACTACAATGTTCTTCTGGATCTAAGTTATTAAATAAATAAATTGTACTTTCCTAATGAGATTTAACCTCAACTTTCAGCACCATAAGGTAAACCCAGTTTCATGGTGAAACTGTAAAGACAAATGTCTGTTTATATTTCTAGTGTCTGAAACACCTTTTTCAATTTTGCATACTATCTGGGACACTAACTCAGTACTCAAAATATACCGCTGTATGTAATTTTAGCCATCTTAGTGTGCATCTCTTACTACTACTGATAAATCTGTATACTATTTTTAGGTCAGCACTAGAAAATTTAGAGAAAATCGTACATAAATGTTTAAAATGATATTTCCTTGGATAAATATTCAGTACAGTATTTGGCTCACTGATAAGCATAATGTCTAACTTTTATGTTACAAACAAAAACGTTCATCTTAGCCAAACGTTGTCATTTGTTTCTTCTTTTATTAGATAAGTGCATCATTTGATATTACATTGCACCTTCCGAATAAACTAATGGGTACGTTTGTTTCTTTTATTTCACCAGGTATACATTCAAAAATTAAGATATATAGAGTATAGTAACGTAAAACTTGGTTTCTGTTTATTCATTAGTTTAAAAGCAGTCTAAATAATAAGTTTTTCAAACAGTTCAATGTTACTACGGACGCTCACAAAGTAGTGCAAAATAGAATTCTACAGAAGTGAGAAGGACTCATATAGAAGTATTATTAGGAATTTCGCAACTTTTACTCCAGCTTTTAGGTCAAAAATCAGACGACTTATGCGTTTTGTACATTATTGGTGTAGGCATTGCTTAGCACACAAATTATTTCAGTATACGATTATTGTAGGACATTTGTATCTTCTATTTCATCTTTTCAATAATGCAGTCTAAGTGAAATAGTCGTCAACAAATTTACAGTGTTAAAAATACTAAAACACAAATCTGTATAATCCTATATCAGTTATTGAGGCTATTCATATTTTCTATGACATTTTCCTTTCAGTCATTAAAACAAGGAATTCGACATCCGGTCCCAAAATAACTAACTGATGAAAGTTAATAGCCCTAAAAACAGTTCAACTCTTGTTAAATCAGCGGCAGGTAAGTAGGTTTCATCTCAACTAAATGTAAAGTGAAGAATAAAAGGTATACACTACGCCTAAGTATTGTTCGTGGCTCAAAACCAATACTGAGATGTTTGACGGTGCTCAATACAGGTCACTTTATGGAATTTTCAAAAAACGTCTTTAACAGTATCAGTCTTTATTGGTTTTTTTAAGCCAGTGTAATGCACTGTGCCGCAAAGATGAACGTAAACAATTCTTCCAGATTGGTGAGACTGTAATATGTGTTGAGTGCGAATAAAATCATTTTAACTTGGTGTATAGTTAAAGAACCTCAGGGAATAGCCCATGTTATGAGGCTGACAACAAAAACTATTCTATCCAGTCATAAAATTCCAGTTGTAAACTAGATATGCATAAACGTCTTTTTATTTATCCCCGAAAAGGTGGATATTTTGTTACTTTAAGGTTGATCTGGATACAGTCGTCAAAACAATTTCGACTTCTAGACAGTGTGAAGTGTTCAGCAAAATTCTGATTTCGTTTGATAGGTTCATGCACTAAAATGCTTTCACGAAAATCACCTTCGAAGACTGAAGTAATTAAGAGACGAAAATACTTACGCATATGCTTAGTGAAGAGAATTTTTCGCTAAGAGAAAGTTTTAGCCGAATATTTGCCAAATAGATAGTAGATTATATATATATATATATATATATATATATATATATATATATATATGAGTGGTGCGTTTCACTTAGATTACATTGAAAGCTCAAAAAATGATGTGATTGCGATCTGCAAATAGAGTTAAGAAGAAGAAAGCATATAATTCGAAAGAATAACTACAGGGCAGAACATTTATGCAAAAACTTTTACTTGGTAAGAGAGTGGTCGTGAGTAAACCTTTGAAAGGGGCAAAAGATTAAAAGCACTTACCAGTCCAACTCTTCGTTTACTGTCCAAATGCCTCCACAATCCCTGCATATACGACTTAAAATCCTGAAGAATGTTTTCATGCCGCTTGTTTCAGGCATATTGCTATTTAAATTATTGATTTCCATACTATTGTAAGATGTAGCGTGTGTGAGCAATAGTGAGAGAAACTCGAGTTCTTTCGTCACATTACTTATATGTTGGCATTCAATCGCTAACTGAGAAACACCTGGATCCATCGAAATCTAGAATGTAAGAGTGATAACGCCTTATGATTATTGAAACTTTTGCCTAAAATAACATATTCCTTATATTTCACTGACAATCAATTTTTCTTGTGTTCCAACTTATTGATATTAAGCTAAAGTTACATGTCTTTTGAAGCCATTAAAAAGATCTACTAACTAAAATCTTGCAGGGCTTAGACTTTCGAGTCATCACTACCTCACTAATGGAAAGTGATCTGGACCGATAAATAATTAATTAAGTCTTTATGTCTTCTCATTTGATCTTGACCTTATTAGATTTACAAGATATACTCAACTTGGAAACACTCTGATGGACATCAGAATCAGAGCCCTCGCAACAACTACCTGACTAAGATAAACATCTCTCAACAAACTGGCCATCTTTAAACTTGTTTCCAGTACCCACTATATTTTCAACGAGCTTGCATTTATCGAACAGTGTCTTTTCCCCCCTATTGTGAAGTGTCCGTGGGGGTTTAAGCCCACGATTCTGTTTAGTGTGGGTTGTCTAGCTACTCGGCTGTGCTAATACTAGTAGATTTGATAGTTGATCAATGCTTTTTATTTTCTCATTTACTAGTGTTTTTATCTTATGGCAGTGGAGTTGCTGGGATCAGCAGCGATTACGCTACCGGGGAAGAAATGGTTTGTTCCAACACGAAAACTATAAAAGTCGAATAAAGAGCGTCGAAGAGAAGGTAATAATCAGAATAAACCTGAGAGTGTTTACGCAAACAATATGAAAACGAACGCAATAGAGAATAGATAAGCGGGTTGACAAAGGGTGATATGAGTCTCGCACGTTGCTGAAAACTAGGAAGAATAATCGCAGTTGGAGAATTCAATCTTCAGAGAGTCTGTCCGTTGATCCTACGACATAACTTTTCACTTGCCTCCATGCTTATTCTAAGTAATTCCTATTTTATGTGTGGACAGCGACTGCAACAATGTTGTGGGTTTGTAGATATATGTGGATATTGGTCTTCATTAGGGTTTAGAAAGTGCTGATGAATCAATATACCTGACTACCTCCTTACAAAATGAACCACAGCCTAAGCTTTGATTGAATCTCCTCGACAGTCACCGCTAATGTTTAGGTTCTCTGGCGGAGACGAAAGTAGACCATGCTCCCGAGAGTTTCTGAACAGGCGGTCACCACACACGAGGGTGTCAACCTGAGCCATTTCTGTTGCACAGAATAACACCTTTAGACGTTTTGGAGATTACATGTCAAATTATTCTTTTTTGTTCGCTTGTGTAGTCGTTTTAGTTCTCTCGTGAATAGAACTTACAAATGATTTTTCTATATAGTTTAACATTGTTCATGCAAGAAATACTAGAGAGTCGAGGTTCGCTTAAAGATCAGTGGTGAATATTGAAGACTGGAAAGCATAGTATAAAGCATGAACAAAACCCTGACACATATACCTTCCAGTTTGGTTTCACACAGTTCTACCCTACAGACAGTTCCACAGGCAAGAAAAGGGAACCTCTGTGAACCCAAATAGCCAGATTTTCACGAATAGAACAGAGCATGGAACAGATTTAAATCCGTGATAAGGTCCCAAAAATAATTCATGCTCAGTCAACTTGTAATCTTAGCACTACTACCAACTGTCTCACGAGGGCATATCATTTGAGATACATAAAATACCCTTCCTGGGGCTGTATCATGCTTTATGGAGGTTGATTAGCTACCTGACTGGATTTTCCACTCAACTATACCACTGTTTGGGGTAACGCAAACAACGCTGCAGACATAAAATAGCTTAATTTCCATATTACTGTTGAGAATTTTTGAGTGGATTACCGACTTCTCGCTACTTCAGTAACGGTTTAGGCTCTATGAAGTGTAGTAAAATGCAACATGTTAAGTGGAGAGACGCTTCAGGATTTTCTCCCAACACGACGATTTGTATGTCATTGCAACCTGACGATTTGTCTTACCGAAGTTCCATTAACATCTTTACACCTTGGCTCAGTATTACCTGTATAGTGCTCCCCAATAATGTCTTCGTCGAACTATTCGTTTGACCTTCATGGCTTTGTACATCATTTGGTTGTTTACCAAGTTTTATTCTGAGATGCTTGGCGCTTTAGTGTTAGTAAGGATCTCAGCTTGATTTGTATAATGCCTAAAATCTTTCCCTTTGAAACATTCTTCCAATCCTGTATTTCTTATGGTCTACATGATGCTCCAATATTGATCAGTTGATATTCCTACACAGTTCTGAGGCCGGAAAAGCATTGCGAAGGTAAGTTTTTACAACTGTGTTAGAACTATGGATTGGTCTTGTTCCATATCAACAGTCAGCTGAGAACCATGATGACTTTGTTTGCGGCGTGATTAATGTAGTATATGGGGGAGAAGACAAAAACGTTTGCAACTGGTAGTCAGTCAATCAAGAACGGGAAGTCTAGTCTGAATAGTCTACCAACCTGATCAGTCATTTAATGTCCTCCATGTGTTCAATGAGTCCCGTGGTACGGTTAGTATGCATTATTTGCTTGTTAAAACAACCGCATGATTTTAGATCATCCTGCACGTGACTTCGAGATGAAGTAATATTGATAGCGCTTGAAGGATCTGTTATTTTTCTTGACGACTGCTTGGTTTGGGCCATGATATATTGTTTCAATCAGATACTTGGTGCCGTTAGACCTGAATCAGCACTAATTAGACTCCTTTGAGTTACCTTTATCACAATTATTTGAAATTATACCCCTGGAGTGACTTCTGGAGTATATCACTATTCCACCTCCTTTATTGTTTTCACTGCCACACATTATTAAAGTCATTCCTTGCACGCTCTGTTCATCATCCTTAATAAGTAGGGAGAGCCCGGTTTCAGATAGAATTATGATCATCATTTCAAACCGGAAGTATTGTTACTAAGCTCTCCTATTTTACTTTAGTCGCTTTACATTGATATTAAGTTAAATACTTATTTTTATATCATTTATCCATATTTCTTTATAGCACCATCTGTTTGTTGGGTCGTAAACAGATTTTAGCACGGAGCAGTTTGGCTAATTTCTTGATAATTAACCGATTAGAGGCTTTGCTCGTGAGATGGGTTCGCTCAGTGCGACAAAGCCCTCGGCGCCTTGTATCACAAAAACCAATTAATGAAGGCCATCTTGCCTTGTTTCACCGATCTATGTCAGCTTTCACATCACCGAAAGGGACACTGTGATAAATGCCTTGTGTTTTACCACTTCTGAAGGACGCCTGTTATGTTATTCTTTGAAACTCATGGCTATCATGCAAGAAAATCTTATGTCTGTGAGATTTTGTGGTCGCTAAAATCGCGTTCCATTAATCGCCACGGTTATTTTTAAGCGGCTCAATAACGTCTGCTTCTACCGCATGCCGGCTGCATGTTCTTCATCTGAACTACAAGCGCCAAAACGGTTCAAATGGTTTTGGACGGTATGGAAGAAGCTTTGGCTCATCGAGCTTCCGTGTCTAAAAGTTTTGCATCACCAATACCTTCGGGCAGGAACCTAGGTATACTATCGATAAAGGATAAAAAAGATTCCGGGTCCCTCAATAACAATCATGCTGGTTTTTTACTCAGTGATTTGCGGAAACTTCCTGTAGTCTATTATTTCGATCATGATCTGTCATGAACCAAATTAATATGCCGGTACCATTTGATAGATGATTTCTGCATCACAGAAGAGTTCCACATCGCGATATCTGGAGAGCACCAGGTGACTCTATGTGGAAGGAGTCATCTTAAAAGTTAATCTTACTCTTTGCAAGCTGGTCATTTTGGATTTGGTGGTACTTATATCAAAATGGTTCCATCATTCGCAGTTGGGCTATTTATTGTGAGTGTTACTGCTTTACTTCAATCTAATTGCCATCATCGAAGATTAATGACTCATATACGTATGCCTGTTACACCTCATGGAGGAGCATAGGCTGCACACTAGCATTCCCCACCCAACTCTATCCTGATCAATCTTGCCAGCTGTTCCCAGTTGCTTTCAATTCACTTCATGTCTCCTTCCAACTCACGACGCTGGGTATCCTTAACTTCTCCTTTTTTCCGCTTCCCTTAACAATTGCAAGTTAGTGCTTACTATGTGATACACTTTGACATTTTTCGCGATGTAAATTACACCACGTCATCTTTAATGGGACACGAACCATAGTTGCGGTTACTTCCGTGTCTGACTTCAGTGCTTCAGCTGCAATACTGTTAGGTGCTGCTGCTTTCGCACTGTCGATTAGTCTGATGACCGTCCTGATTTTCTTGATCGTTGGTGGAGTGGTAGCTATCGGAAAGTCAGTGTGCGCTACTGCGATGTCTGTTGTATTTAATGGAGCTGGTCTATTTAAGAGATGCTTCGAGTGCCTCACCTATCTATCTACTATATTTTCTCGAAACTATCTTCATATAACCACATAGTTGTTTCATTTTTTCCTTTCTTGCAGCTTTTCCACAATCGTTGTTGAGTAATCCATCAATTTATGCTTCTTGGCTCACATGTTCTTCTTCACTTCCTTGTTTGCTTCTAAATATTCAGATTGGAATTCAATCTTGTCTCTTTCCCTTCAGGAAGCTAGCGGTGGCTTCGTGTCGCAGTTTGGTGATGTCCGCAACGTGTGTCCTATCCACTTCCAGTGTGTTTTCCTAGTATCTTCTTCAACTGAAAGCTGGATTGTTCTATCCTCCAGTAGACTGTTGCTGATGGTATCCTGTCAACGGACATTGCGAATCATGCGTAGATAATTGTTTTATATATATCTATATGTTTTTTAAATGATAGTTGTAGTCGCAAATCTTTCGCCATTCTCGTTCCTTTCTCCCAGTCAGCCCGTATCGTCCCATGATATATTAATACCCGGTGTTGTCCATTACGACCCTGGCGTTTATGTCTATCATCAGTATGATCAGCTTCTTTCCTGATTGTTTCGCTATGATCGATTGTAGACTGTCGTAAAACTGATGTTTGTCATCGTCACTGCTGTTATTGGTGGATGCATAACATCGGGTAACACTCACTGTGATCCCTTACTTCTT